GAAAAGTACAATAACACTGACTGTCTAGCCTTATGTAGAAACAAATATTTTTATATTTAAAACAAGTGTTTTTATATTTAATATAAAAACATTTTTATATATTTTATATATTTTATATTTATATTTAATTCATTGATTAAATATAAAAACAATGGAAGTATCAAAACAATGGAAGTATCAAATCACTCTCAACAAAAGATTCCCCCCAGGCACTTCCAAGCCATTGAATGCTAATCAAGGTGGTCAGCTGAAACATTCACACCTAGCCCCAGCAGTCAAAAGTCCTTTGTCTCACCCTGGTCATTCCACAGATATATAAACCCATTTTTCTTACTTTCAACAGACCTCACTACCTCTGAGGATGCTTGCCAAAGATGCAGGCGAAACGTCAGGAGAAAAATTGCCTCCAGAACATGGCTATATAGCCCAGAAAAACCCACAACAACCCAGTGATTCCGGCCATGAAAGCCTTTGACAATACAATGGAAGTATTGTCAAACGCTTTCATGTCCGGAATAGTTGGATTGCCGTGAGTTTTCCAGGCTGTATGACCATGTTCCAGAAGCACAACCTCTGAGGATGCCTGCCATAGATATGGGCAAAACATCAGGAGAGAATGCTTCTGGAACATGGCTATACAGCCCAGTTAACTCACAGCAATCCAATGGAAGTATTGCCCTATAGCAGTGATTCTCAACCTTCCTATTGCCGCGACCTCTTAATACAGTTCCTCATGTTGTGGTGACCCTCAAACATAAAATTATTTTCATTGCTACTTCATAACTGTAATTTTTCTACTGTTAGGAAACGTAATGTAAATATCTGATATGCAGGATGAATTTTCATTCACTGGACCAAATTTGGCAAATACTCAGTATGCCCAAATGTGAACACTGGTGGAGTTTGGGGAAAATAGACTTGACATTTAGGAGTAGTAATTGGTGGGACTGTGGCTGGGAGTCAGATGCATTAAGATTATTACTGACCGAAAGGTCTTGAGTTTGAAGCTAGCCCAGGTTGGAGTAAATGTCCGACCAATTTGTGTAGCTTGCTGTCAACCTTTGCAGCCTGAAAGACAGTTGCATCTGTCAAGTAGGAAATTTAGGTACCACCTATGCGGGGAAGCTAATTTAACTAATTTACAATGGCATAAAAATCTCCAGCAAGCCGCAAAGAATGAGGAAGTATTTCATCAGTGTCACAAATGGACAGTGAAGCAACAGCTCCCCTGGTGGCCAGAATACCCTCATGAAGTTGGAATGTTAAATTGCCTCTGTGTGTCTGTCTATATACGTTGTGTGTCTATGGCATAGAATGTCTGCCATTATATGTACATTATATGAGTCCCTTGCGGGGTGAGAAGGGCGGAATATAAATACTGCAAATAAATAAATAAACAGATCACCTACAATCAAAGAGCATTTTGAAGCCTACCAGTAATAGAATTGGGCCAAACTTCCCATACAGAATCCCCATGACCATCAGAAAATACTGTGTTTTCTGATAGTCTTTGGCAATCCCCTGACACCCCCTTGCGACCCCCCCAGGTTGAGAAATGTTGCCCTATAGTATGGTCATCAAAGTGTGGCACTTGAAACTCTCAGATTCTTCCAGAAAGGGAGAGTCTTTTCTCTTCCACACCAGCACTGCAGGTATATCTGGTGGGAACATAGGAGAAGATAGGGAGGCCTCCAAAAATTGACTGTTCAAGGGAATGGGGCCTTATAGAATTGTGCTGTATTGTGTGTGTTCTGTTTATTTGTCATTTTTAATAGTTATGAGTTTAAATTGGTTTTAATGTTACAGATCATTTAGTGATATTTATCACTTTTGCATTTGCAATATCTCTTCCAACTGCTGCAAGCCTCCTTGAGTCCCATACTGGGAAAAACATGGAGACAAATAAATGCTCTAATGATAATGATAATAAAGAGTGAACTACTTCTGGTAGAAGTCTTAGCAGCAGTTAATCTTTTAATATGTCAGTCTGCCTGAATGGTTTAACATAAAAATATGAATTTGGTTAGAGCACACCTGGAATATTGTGTCCAATTCTGGGCACCACAATTGGAGAGAGATATTGACAAGCTGGAATGTGTCCAGAGGAGAGCAACTAAAATGATCAAGGGTCTGGAGAACAAGCCCTATGAGGAGCGGCTTAAAGAGCTGGGCATGTTTAGCCTGAAGAAGAGAAGGCTGAGGAGCCATGTGAGAGGAAGTCATAGGGAGGAGGGAGCAAGCTTGTTTTCTGCTGCCTTGGAGACTAGGACGCAATGGCTTCAAACTACAAGAAAGGAGATTCCATCTGAACATTAGGAAGAACTTTCTGACTGTGAGAGCTGTTGTTCAGCAGTGGAACTCTCTGCCCCAGAGTGTGGTGGAGGCTCCTTCTTTGGAGGCTTTTAAACAGAGGCTGAATGGCCATCTGTCAGGGGTGCTTTGAATATCAGAACATATTGTATATCAGAACGTATTATATATCAGAACGTATTATATATATTGTATATCAGAACTTAACCATTATGTATTTGTGTTTCTTGTGCATTGCAGTGTGTTGAGTGTTGGGCTGTGTTGCACTTTGAGACACACTGCACAATGACTACAATGCTGGCTGTGTGATCACAATGATCCCAAAAGGCATAGTAACATCTCCTTTCCTTTAAGTCAATGACACAATTCAACTTTATGCAATTGTATGTCAGTTTACAATGATGTAACTTTCCAACAGGACACCAACAATCGTATTGAACCAAACATTAGGAAGAACTTCCTGACTGTGAGAGCTGTTCAGCAGTGGAACTCTCTGCCCCAGAGTATAATGGAGGCTCCTTCTTTGGAAGCTTTTAAACCAGTGTTTCTCAACCTGGGGGTCGGGACCCCCAGAGGGGTCATGAGGGGGTGTCAGAGGGGTCGCCAAAGACCATCAGAAAACATAGTATTTTCTGCTGGTCATGGGGGTTCTGTGTGGGATGTTTGGTCCAATTCTATCATTGGTGGGGTTCTGAATGCTCTTTGATTGTAGGTGAACTATAAATCCCAGCAACTACAACTCCCAAATGTCAAGGTCTATTTTCCCCAAACCCCACCATTTGGGCATATTGAGTATTTTGTTTGAGTTCATAATGCTCTCTGGACGTAGGTGAACTACAACTCCAAAACTCAAGGTCAGTGCCCACCAAACCCTTCTAGTGTTTTCCTTTGGTCATGGGATTTCTGTGTTCCAAGTCTGGTTCAATTCCACCATTGGTGGAGTTCAGAATGCTCTTTGAGTGTAGGTGAACTATACATCCCAATAACTACAACTCTCAAATGTCAAGGCCTATTTTCCACTGGTGTTCAAATTTGGGCATATTGAGTATTCATGTCAAGTTTTGTCCAGATCTGTTGGTCATGGGAGTTCTGTGTGCCGAGTTTGGTTCAATTCCATCAGTGGAGTTCAGAATGCTATTTGATTGTAGGTGAACTATAAATCCCAGCAACTACAACTCCCAAATGACAAATTCAATCCCTCCCAACCCCACAGTATTCAAATTTGGGTTTATCAAGTATTTGTGCCAAATTTGGTCCAGTGAATGAAAATACATCCTGCCTATTAGATATTTACATTATTTTTCATAACAGTTGCAATATTGCAGTTATGAAATGTTGTGGTTGGGGGTCACCACAACATGAGGAACTGTATTAAGGGGTCACTGCATTAGGAAGGTTGAGAAACACTGTTTTAAACAGAGGCTGGATGGCCATCTGTTGGGGGTGCTTTGAATGCAATTTTCCTACTTCTTGGCAGGGGGTTGGACTGGATGGTCCACGAGGTCTCTTCTAACTCTATGTTTCTATGAATTTTTCAGAATCAGAAGTGAGCTCAGATTTTTCTTTTTGGTATTCCACGAGACTCCTAGAAAGGGAACCAGGGGCAGATTATTGTTCCATGAACCTGTCAAAGTTTCAGACTCTTGTCCCATAGTTATAGTTGGCTATTTCCCACAAACGGACCAACACAACTAACACCACTCAATGTGCTTTCTTCAGTACTATGAAGTTTAAGAACTACAGATTTAATTTACAGGCCAAAGTGCATGAGAAACCGTTAGAAGTTATAGATGATCTGAAGCTGCCAACACCAACACATAAATTGTAGCCGCCTGAGATGGGATGCTGTATAAAAATATTACAGTCCGCTATATTTCAAACATTACTCTGCCTTTTCAGGAGGAAAATATATGTAACCTTGTTTTTGGAGTAGGAAGCTACTCCTCCACAATCAATACTTCTCCTCCTCCCTCATTGACAACAACAACTACAAACTCACAGAAATGTAATTTTTCCTTGCGGCCACCCAGGTGAGGCAAGTCACGTTTATTTTTCTGGGTAAACTCAAGTTCTGGAGCTTGGCCTGGGGTCTGTTTATGATTTTCTTGCTCAATGAAAATATTAATATGACAAGATTCAGCATTTAAGAATGACTGGTCCAATACTATCCCGGCATCTTTTCATTTGGAAACACAATTTTCTGGTTAATTGAAGATATGTAGCTGAGCCCTGGATTTGTTTATGAGTTTCTAGTTCAATAAGAAATTTCACCATCCAAGGATCAGCTTTCTGATCGGTTTTCATGCTCATTTATTTATTTCGTGTCAAAAACATAGTATTGCATCACACTATCCAAAAGCAAGCATGGCTGGCCAAAGATATCTCCAACATTCAGAAAACATCCTTGGGAAGTCTTTGTTTTTGGGTCAACAGAATTGCATCACACCACCCAAGAATCCAGCATACTTGGCTGAATACATGCCTGACATCTTTCTATTCAGACTATTCAGACAATGCAGTTTTCAGGTAAATTGAAGTGTAATTGAGGTTGCCTTGAGATATCTTTATTTGGACGTCAATACAGAGTTGCATCACATCATCTAAGAACCAAGGTGTCTGGCCCAAGACATGCCCAGTATCAATCTATTCCAACAACACAGTTGGTGGTCAAAGAAAAGAAAGGGGCTTACCTGCTCTCGAATGAGACATCTCCCCGGATTACATGAGTGCTTTCTTTGCCAATAAGGAACTTGATTCTGTCATAAAAGAGCCTTGGAGGGTGTTGTGAGAAAGGAGGCTGGCTTTGCTGAATGAGGTCAAGGGGATCAGGAGAACCTTGGCAGAGAGGGCTTGCATAGCAAGTGCTTTGTTGACAGCAATCCGGGTCTATGCAGTCTGTCAAACCATCTGAAAATGAATAAGACAAGAAAGGGGTTACGGAGGAGGCAAAGGGATGGCTGCGTGGGAACACAACAAGCCAAGCAGCTAGGAAAAGGAAATGCATGGATATTGTATATATCTGTGTGCTGTTGCTTTATTTCATATACACTTTGCCTTTCTCTCCAAACTGAATTTCATAACATTAGTGAAAAAAGCACAAAGAAGGTATAACATGAAAGCTAACAAGCCAGAGTATTAAAATATAAAGTAATAGGCTTTTAAAACCATGTTAACAACAAAAGGATAGCATACGCTTTCCTCCTGAACCAGTCAGTTGTCAAAAGCTGGACTCAAAACAAAACAGAAGGATCTTTGCTTGCAAATAGAAAGACAAAAGGAGAGGAACAAAGGTTGGTGAATAATGTGCAAGAGAAATATAGTGTCACTTGGGAAAATGAAATAGAAGTTTTTCTTCCAGTCTATAATACTTGAGTTCAGGGCCTTCATATCAAACTAAATGACAGGACACATTTAAGGAAGGTTTTCTTCACACAACGAGGAGTTCAGCTAAGAAATAAACTAATAAAATACATTTGTCTAAGGGATAAACCCATGAAGGATATGGTTGTCAATAGGCTAGAAGCAGCAACAACAACAACAACAACAACAACAATCAAAGTATAGATTATCGATGTTGAAATCCCAAGGGACAGCAGGATTGATGAGAAACTACTGGAAACGCTGATAGGACATGAGGATTTAAAGATCGAACTGCAAATACTCTGGCACATGCCAGTCAAGGTGGTCCCAATGGTGATCGGCACACTGGGTGCAGTGCCTAAAGACCTTGGCCTGCACTTAAACCCAATTGGCGCTGACAAGATAACTATCTGCCAGCTGCAAAAGGCCACGATTCTGAGATCTGCACGCATTATTCGCCGATACATCACACAGTCCTAGACACTTGGGAAGTGTCTGATGTGTGATCCACTACAACACCCAGCAGAGTGATCTTGTCTGCTGTGGACTCATATTGTTGTGTTTCAAATAATAATAATAATAATAATAATAATAATAATAATAATAATAATAATAATTTTATTCTTTTATCCCACCACTATCTCCCCGAAGGGACTCGGGATGGCTTACACACAGCACATGGTGCCTAAAAACAGGACATAAAATAAACACAATTTAAAATACAATAAGTAAAACACATAGGCATATAAAACACTAACCAAAACTCAATAAAACTGCACTCAATGACCAATGGTGGTAACCTGCTGTAAACGTGGCCAGGCTGTAAACAATAGGATAAGTGCAGAGCTGTAACAATGGAGGGAGGGCATGGGATAAAGTGCAGGTTGCATGACTATTGTACAGAACAACTAGAGACTAGGTGTTCCCAAAAGCTTGCTTGAAAAGCTATGTTTTCAAATCCCTACAAAAGGAGGACAGTGTGGGGGTCTGCCTAATCTCCCTGGGGAGGGGGTTCCAAAGCCATGGGGCCACCACCGAGAAAGCCCTCTCCCTTGTCCCCACCAATCACGATTGTGACAGTGGCGGGACCGAGATGAGAGTCTCCCCGGTAGATCTTAGAGCCCGCGCCAGTTCATGGGGTGGATGCAGTCACGAAGATAGGCAGGACCTGAGCCATTCAGGGCTTTATAGGTAATACTCTGTACTTCGAATTGGGACCAGAAAGGTATCGGCAGCCAATGAAGCTGCTTTAGTAGGGGCATCGTGTGCTCCCTATAGCTAGATCCAGTTAGTACCATGGCTATCGATCTTTGCATCAATTGCAGTTTCCAAGCTGTCTTCAAAGGCAGCTCCACATAGAGTGCATTACAGTAGTCCATTCTAGATATAACTAAGGCATGGATCATTGTGGCCAAGTCAGGCTTTTCAAGGTCGCAGCTGGTGCATAAGTTTTAACTGTGAAGGCCTTCCTGGACATTGCCAACACCTGAGCTTCAAGCATCAGTCCAGGAGAACCCTCAGCCCGCGGACCTGTGTCCTCAGGGGGAGTCTAACCCTGTCAAGCACAGATAACCACCCTATAGTCCAATCAGCCTCATGTCTGGATTAAGTTTCAGCTAGTCAGCCCTCATCCAGTCCATCACAGCCTCCAGGCACTGGTCCAGGCTCCAGGGTGCTTCCTTGGAGTTTTGTGGAAAGGAGTAATAGAGTTGTGTGTCATCTGCATACAGGTGGTTATAGCAGCTTTATGTTCTGCCAGTATTGAATGGGATCTTGGCCGCAACATGTACCAGAAGCACTTTTCATCCAAATAACATGTATGAGGGGAGCATGAGCAGGAAGATGCTGTTACACTGATGCCCTGGGCTTCCTAAAGATATCAGAGTATCCACTGTTGGAAGGAAATTATCAAAAAGCAAAGTACATGATCTGTTCCTACATGGTTTTTCATATTTTCATAACATGATGCAATCCTTCACTCTTCTCTTGAAGTAAGCAAAGAATAATTATAGCAATTTTTTTCTTTTGTCGAAAGCTTTCATTGCCAGAATCACTGGGTTGCTGTGAGTGTTCCGGGCTCTAAGGCTGTTCCAGAAGCATTCTCTCCTGATGTTTTGCCCACATTTATGGCAGGCATCCACAGAGGTTGACCCCCCCCCCTCTCTGAGGATGCCTGCCATAGATGTGGGTGAAACGTCAGGAGAGAATGCTTCTGGAATATGGCCCTACAGCCCGGAAAACTCACACAACCCAATTTTCTTCCTGCTTTAAGAAAAGAATGGAAAACTGCAGTGCTGAAAGTATATTTATAATTTGAGTCTTATTCTATGCAAAATTTGCAAATGCTTGTTTTGTGCACCGGGACTGTGGCACAGCTGGCTGGGAGTCACTACTGACTGAAAGGTCATGAGTTCGAAGCCAGGCCAGGTTGGAGTGAGCTTCCAGCCAATTTGTGTAGCTTGTCGTCGTCCTTTGCAGCCCGAAAGACAGTTGCATCTGTCAAGTTGGAAAATTAGATACTACTTATGTGGGAAGGTTAATTTAACTAATTTACGAGGCCATATAAATCTCCAGCAAGCATGCGGGGAATGAGGAAGTACTTCATCAGTGTTGCAGAGGGATGGTGAAGCGACAGCTCCCCTGGTGGCCAGAAAAAGTTGGAATGTTAAATAGCCTCTGACTGTCTGTCTATATGTGTTGTGTGTCTATGGCATTGAATGTTTGCTATGTATGTGTACATTGTAATCCGCCCTGAGTCCCCTTTGGGGGGAGAAGGGTGGAATATAAATACTGTAAACAAATAAATTACATATTCTGTCCATTTTTCTGAACCAAATACTGTTTTCTATGAGAGACAATCATACATGATTGTAGTTTGTATACAATAAGCCTCAAAGTTTGTATACACTTCCAAATTTGTGAAGATTATTTATTTATTTATTTATTTATTATTTATTTAGCAATTTTGTATACCGGTCTTCTCCCCTCTATCGGGGGACTCGGGCCGGTTTCCAACAATAAAATCACAAAACAATCATTAAAAACATCATATAACATATTCAATTAAAACGTTATAACAGCAAAATGCAATCATATAATAATAATGGTCAGTCGTCATAGTGAATTCGTTGTCCATCATCCATCGTCATCTATCCGATCCCAGAAATATTGATTCACTCGTCGAAAGCCAAACCCCATAGCCAGGTTTTCACCCGTTTTCTGAATGACAGAATGGAGGGGGCAGTTCTGATCTCCAGTGGGAGAGAGTTCCAGAGTCGAGGGGCCACCACCGAGAAGGCCCTGTCCCTCGTCCCCACCAGACGTGCCTGAGAGGCTGGTGGGACCGAGAGCAGGGCCCCTCCAGATGATCTTAACAACCTAGATGGTTCATAGGGGAGAATACGTTCGGACAGGTAAACTGGGCCGGAGTCATTTAGGGTTTTATAGGTTAACACCAGCACTTTGAATTGTGCTTGGAAGCTAATTGGCAGCCAGTGGAGCTGGCGCAACAGAGGAGTACTATGTTCCCTGTACCCTGCTCGTGTTAGCACTCTGGCTGCCGCACGTTGGACTAGTTGGAGCTTCCGGGCAGTCTTCATAGGCAACCCCACGTAGAGAGCGTTGCAGTAATCTAAACGGGATGTAACCAAAGCGTGGACCAAGATTACAATCAGTCTAGGATTTCCTCATCAGGATTTGTGATGGTTTTTTACTATTAATTTTCAGAATATTCTTTCTATTTCTGTTTTATTATCAGAGGGGACTATGGTAGGATATTATCATAGGGACTATTGGAAATAAGGAACAGCAGCTCATATTTGATACAAAATTGGTACTGGCACCAGTAGAGGGAGAAATAAAGGGGAGAGACATGTTGGATGGCTGTGCCAGATCAGTAAGCACAAGCATTAAGGGCAGAGATAAGAGGCTTACAATGCAAGACAGAAGATCAGAAAATAATACAGTGCAATAATCTATATGTGAAAGAACGATAAGCTGAATAGAAGTTTTATCTGAATCAGTAGGGACAAAACAATGGGGAACAAGAGGGGCCAAGAGAAGAGAAAAGGTAAGGCAGTGCTTGGAGGGGACATGAACACAGAGATAGAAGATAACATCCGAGGTTCCCACTTTAGAAGGGTGAGATTGTCAACAGAAAAAGGAAGAGGAAGATGATAATGAGGTATTGGGAGGGAAGGCAGACTTTCCCCTTTTCTGACCTGGCAAGAGCTGCATCTACACTCCTGCCAATAATCTGAGAAGTTTTGAAGAACAGGTGAAATCTTTGGATAACTTCCCCAATTTCCAAAAATGGGGGCAAAGACTATTCAGAGCAATGCTGATACTGGGAAATGTTCCAGAGCAGATCATTCAGCAGTCAATCTGTAATCAGTTAGGACAGATTGCTGTGATTACGAAGAAAAAGAAATAATCATGTCAGACTAATTTCATCTCCTTTTCTGATCGTTACAAGTTTGGTACATTTGATGTAGGTGGAGTGTGTTCAAATTGCAGTGAGGCTTTGACAGGTTCACCCTCACAATCTT